GCTGGTCTGTGATAACAAGTATTCATTCATGTGCGTTTAGCAATCAATATCGAGCTCAGCAACGATAGCTTCGTAAAATTTTCAGTACTTTCCTCTTTCCCCATTGTCATAATCAGTCATTAATCATCAACAACAACCACTACTGAAAGTCTCCTGCAACAAAAGTTTAAGTCAATGAGATTGTTCTTGGACTGTTTCAGACCAAGACCCAAATATCCATGCATTGAGCTGGAGCGTTCAGCCGCTGTCTGTGGTTCTGGTGAAACATCGCTGATCTATCGTCAGATCACTTATCGAGAGCAAATGAACACCGTTCGTTTTTGACACTGACTTGAGTGCTTCAATATTAACAAATACGTATAGGGTTACAACTATTAATGATCTGAAAATTTTTGTTGGAACATTTCTGCTGAGCAAATGTTGACATTAAATTTCGAAATTTCAACATCTTCAGATAACAAGTTACCTTGATGCGTCAGGAATCTATGGTAGCACAGAAGAAGAAGCTTATGAGCTTCGTGATCTGTATCCAGATCGAGGATTGCTAAGGTACCTTCTGACGAATCATTTACTTTTGAGGCAGTGTTAGTCTCACACTTAACGATGGTATATGACAGTGGTTCTCAAGATGGTCTATGACAGTTATTGAACTGATCGCTGAATATGTCTAATATGTGATGAATGATCTCCTCAAAACTGAGAGATTCAACTCAAGCGATGCTTGCCGATTGGATGTATTTGAATATTCAGATTCGATCTCTTATCAGATGCCCAAAAGCCATATCTTCCATTTGAACTAGACTCGCCAATGGACTGCCACCGTAACAGAACCGTTGACAATCCGATTCGCTGCTTCCTTGCCGGTGATTATCGTGCCAACGAACAGGTTGGCTGCTCTCATCTTAACCTTCCCCATGTTCACAATTTCTTGGGCAATATTCTGTTCACCGCTAACATCTTCTTATCACTTTCATGATTCGCAGAAGTAGTTCTCGAGTTTTTCAATGGTGAGAATTTGATGGAAGAAGATGAAAAAATTCCATGATGTTCACATATACCACTCAGTGAACA